AAAAAAAAAAAAAAAAACGATCAAGCTTCATGCAAACCCAGGCTATAACGCACTGGGGCGCCCGTGCGATCATGCGTTTTTGCACCGGACTTGAATTACTCAGGTCACTAGCTATATGAATGGCTGTTGCTTTACATCTACCTTTTGCGGTCACTAGCTTAAACCATAAATTTTGCAAAGTAAGTGTATAATTTCCATTTAACAGTCGTTCTTTACAAGCAACCTAGTTGTTCAGTGAAAAATTTTTTCGTCGACTTTTAAGTGGCAGTTCGTAAGAACCACGCGTACCTTAAGGCTGAATTTGAAATACTTAAGTTGTACTTGGACAGGGAACATTCCCTTAGAATTTCAGCTTCCCAGCTTTTCTGTTTACTGAGTTAGCAATTTTTCCGCCAAAACCATCATATATCCATATCTGGTTACTCCAAGTGCTTGGAAAGCTGAATTTGACACTTTCAAATTGCACATTGACAGGGAACATCTGCCTAAAATTTCAGCCTTCCAGCTCTTATGGTTGCCGATTTAGTAATTTTCCTGCAGGAACTTTCATATGCCCTTACTTGAGTACCGTGCATAGCTTGGGGCTGAATTTGAAATGTTTAAGTTGTACTTCGATCGGGAACGTTACCCTAAAATTTCAGCTTTCTAGCTTTCCTGGTACCCAAGTGAGCAATTTTCCCTCTAAAACTTTGATGCGCCCTTACGTGAGTACTACGCATGCCTGGGAGCTGAATTTGAATCTTTAGCTAGCACATGCACAGGGAATATTCGTGCGAAGTTTCAGCCCCTTAGTTCATGTGGTTCCCGCTTTCCCGCCAAAAAATTTGCATATTTTTTTAAAACGTCTGTACGCGCCACCCAGGCGTTCAAGGGGATGAAATTAAAACGGGAGGGTCGCGCATTGTATGGGCATATACTCCCAAAGTTTCAGCCTTCTAGCTTTTTTGGTTCTCGAGTTGAAAGTGGGTGACAAAAAGTGTGAACACACAGACACACTACACACAGACAGCCTCTTCCCAATATGCGTTTTTGCAATTTACATATATGCAAAAACGCATAAAAATTGGTAATCTTGTACCTGCAGGTCATGCGGCTCTGTGATGCGACACTTTCATCCAAACCGATGCCCCATTCTGCTGCATGCTGGAAGAAGCCAAAGCATGGCCAATATGAGCCCAAGTGTTTGGCTGCAGCGTAGAGATTATTTCTGCTATTAGCAAACCACGAGTTTAGTGCAAAAACGCATGATCGCACCGGCAAGCTTGGTGCGTTCCAGCCTGGGATCATTCGTAATTTCAGGCACCCTTTAATTTACTACGCGTTTTGTGCTATGCAACAGCTGCACAAAACGTCTGTGTGTGTTTGTGTGTAAGTGTGTGTGTTTTCACAGCAAACTGTTCGCAACTTTCAACTTGGCAACAACTAAAGCTAGAAAACTGAAAATTTAGAGGCATGTTCCCCACCCACGTGTAACTCGCAAATTTAAATTCAGCCTTCCCCTGCTCGCGGGTGACACGTACGTCTGCGTAAAAGTTTTGACGGGTAAGACTATATCACGGGAATCACGAAATCTAAGGGACTGAGATTTTATTAATGACCTCCTGTTCACGCACGACCTTGCAAATTCAAACCCAGCGTCCCCGCGCTTCCAGGTATCAGCTGCGGCTCCGTAAAAATTTTGACGAGGAAATTACTATCTCCTGAACCATAAGACCCAAAGAGTTCAAATTCTGTGATAGCGCACATGTAATTCCGAAAATCTAGTTTCAGCCTTCCCGTGCGCCCAGGCATCACTTACGGCCTCGTGAAAGTTAAGGTAGAGAAAATTATTATCCTAGGAACCGCGAAAGTTGGGGATCTAGAATTTTAGGGCAATGTCCCCTGCCAACGTACGACTCCCACAAATTTGGATTCAGCCTTTATGCCTCCCTAGCTGCTACGTATGGTCTTGTAAACCCTTTGGTAGGGAAATTATTATACCGTAAATTGCAAAAGCTGGAAAATTGAAATTTTGGAGTGGCATCCTCTGCCCGCGCACAACTCCGCATATTTTCAACGTCCCCGTGAAAGCTTTGGCGAGAAAAATCATTACCTTGGGAGCCAGAAGAGTTAGGAGGCTGAAAATTTCAAGAGAATGTTTCCTGCGTAAGCACGGGGCCTCTTAAACTCGAATTCAGTTCCTGAGTATGCCGAGGTCTCACGTTCGATTACTTGTAAATTTTGTCTCAAAGATCAAGCCAGAAAACTAGAATGAAATTTTAGAAGGATTCTCACCCTTCAAGGTTTCAGATTCAACTTTCACTTACCGATGCGCAAAATTTTTAACTATTTTCCGACATTTTAACTACTTTTGCACAGACCAAATGAAAAGCAGTGAAAATCATTGACAAGCAATCTTTGGTGGACGAAATTGCACAGAACGTGTGATCGCACCAACTTTTCCAGTGCGAGCTGCAATTTATTTTTTTAGTCAAGCTGAGGTTCGAAGGTCACGCTCAAGGTTGCTAATTTCTCTTAACACAGAGTTTCATGCGGAGCATAAAAACCTCTAGGTGTTCCTCTTCATAAGCCCCCTTGTTCCCGATTTTTACCTCTAACCAGAGTCTTACCAGCCAGTAACCCACCCTCCCCACGTTTATGATCTCCGAGATTGACTCAGTATTCCATACTACCGTTTCTTTCGTTCCACCCCTTTCTCTTGCCCCGGTCTCTTCTACTGCCACCTCTAATCATTGCATCTGGACACCCGGAGCTGGCCGGGCGAAGTTTTAGTGAATTCCAGACTGGCTTTTGAAATAATAACAAGTTCGGGACCCTCCTAAACCTACGACAAGCTGCCGTCGAAGTACCCTCTTCAGCCACATTTCATCCGATTGTGAAGTAAGCAAACGAATCTTAAAAGAAACTCAACCCGAACTGATAACTTTAGTTTAATGCTGCAGAAAAGAACCTATTCATACTGGCTACTGAAGCAAACACTGTGGGACCAGCGATCTGTAGAAATTAGCTTTTATG